TTGTATAAAAGCCATTTGTGTTAAATTCTCCCTAGAAGCTTAGAAAAGAATCTCAGCTTTAGAATCCACCTGGTTACAACTTGTTCTGTTAATGATTTTGAAGGGCTGCTCAGCAAGAGCACAAAGTACATTTCTCAGCTTCAAACATCTGAAACATCTGACTGGGCTCACAACAGACAGATGGGAATGAGGGAGGAGAATAAAATTATTTTAATTCAGTTACTGCTAAGGGCAAAGCCAGCATAAGTAGGTTAAGAGAATGAACCCTTTCCTCAAACCTTTGTTAGATTTAGAATCTTGTCTTATTAGTTTGGGCAGCTGTACAAATAGAAGGTGTCAATTTCGACCTAGGAACAAACGTTAAAACCTTCACGCTGAAAGAAACAAAGTATGTATGTTTTTGCAGAACAACGTCACTCTTATTTGACAGATTTTTAAAACTTTTTTTTTGCAGCCTGTTCTAATACCTCTAGAACTTCATAAGGTGCCTTCAAAGTCTTGAGATTTACTTTAGCTCCCTGACATAAAGACAGCAAAAAACCAAACAACCAATCTTTTGATCTTCATCCGTGAAATCTTGCCCTATGGAAGTCAAAGGGGCCTGAATATCTTCCCTAATCTTTGCATTTACTTGTTAACTGCATGGTAATAGCCAATTCTCCAGGCCTTTTCTGGGAGATTCTCTTTTGGCAGTTGCAGCTCATCTTCACATTTGTTTTCATAGGGATTTACTGGTTCTATGCTAGTAAAAGAGTAACACTCTTTCTGGAGGCAATTAATGATTTAATATAAAGAAATAGAAATCATGGAGTCCAGGGGGAAATTATTTTATTTTTGAAGTTTTTGTGCGAATTACAATTTTTTCAAGTCAAATGGCAACTTTCTGTTGTGTGTGTCATGTCACACTCAACAATATTAGTGTGACACAAGATGGAACAATGTCAACAAGGAAGCATGAAGCAATGTCCATAGAAACATTTCAGTGTTTTACATACCACCCCTCCCCCCCTTTCTCTTGCTACGGTTCTTGGCCTTACCCTTATGAGCAAACTAAGTGTTATGCATGTTCAGGTCTGTGACTCCTGGGGCCAATGACATTCACTAGGGTGGAGGTTTGATCTTTAGAGCAGGATGGCTGTAAGCAAATAGTGGAGTTACAGTTACTTACTGTATATGTGCTGACCTCCATATTAAAAAGCAATCATTAAAATCTACATATTTAGTGCTACTAAGCAACTTTGCAGTTGAGCTGTCATGTCACCAAGACTTCTGATTTACATATTTGATTATTACTGCTAATGTTAAGTCTAGCCTTATTAGGATGGCTGTAGCCGGTAATAGACAATTTGTTTAGGTTACTGAAGCAAATTAAATGCCATACTCTCTTATACATAATATGCCCCAGAATAAAATACACATCTTGTTTCTGAAAGGTAGAATGAAGAAATTTTTTTTTTTCTAAACTAATGGCTATGTAGAGCAGGGATAGAACCTAACCATAAGGTGACTCACCCTCCCTTTCCTACTTAAATAAAGCTGAAACCCTAGTTACTACTGAAGACTGGTTTCCAGGGTGGGTCTATGATTTTGAAAAGAACTAACGAATTTAGTGCTTTAGTTTTTGTGGACAACTCAGGACAGCTGGCTACCGGCACTCAGGAAAAAAACTGAATTCCTGAATGACTACTTTGTTTCGGTCTTTCACCGGGCCAATGGCAAAATCATGCCAGAGTTGGTACAGAATGAGCAGATAGGAATGATTGCCTTCCTACTATTACCGTAGTATGTGATCATTTGAAAAAATTAGACATCTGTCAGTCAGCAGGAGTGGATGAACTTCATCTGAGGGTGTTGAAGGAGTTGACCAAAGTCATCACAGGACCTCTGGCAAAACTTTTCCAAAACTCATGGTGCTCCAGAGACTGAGGACTGGAAGAGGGCCAATGTTGTGCCCATCTTCAAGAAAGGGAGGAGGGAGGACTCGGGCACATATAGGCCAATCAGCCTAACTTCTATCCCAGGGAAGATTCTGGAAAAATTCATTAAGGAGTCTATATGTGATAGGCTTGCAGAAAGTAGGATTCTGAATGACAGCCATCATGGCTTTGTCATGGGCAGGTCTTGTCTTACCAACTTCATCTCCTTTTACGATCAGGTAACTTGCCACCTAGATAAGGGAGAGGAGGTTGACATTGTACACCTTGACTTCCAAAAGAACTTTGATCTAGTATCCCACAATGTTCCCATGATTAAATTGGAGGACTGTGGGCTCAGCCGTGAGACAGTTAGGTGGGTAGGGATCTGGCTGTGGTGTAGGACTCAGAGAGTTCTAATGAACGGATCTATGTCATCTTGGTGAGAAGTGGCCGGTGGTGTCTGTCAGGGGTCGGTGCTTGATCCAGTGCTTTTTAACATCTTTATCAACTATTTGGATGTGGGGGTGAAGACATCACTGGCCAATTTTGTGGATGATACCAAGTTATGGGGAAGTGTGGTCACACTTGAAGATAGGCTGCAGATAGAGGCAGACCTAAATAGGCTAGCAAGTTGGGTGGATTGAAATCAAATGAAGTTCAACATCGAGAAATGTAAAGTACTCCATCTGGGGAGAAGATAAACCCTACACACCTACAGGCTTGGCAATACCAGACTGACCAGCACCATGAATAAAAGGGATCTGTGGGTAAGAATAGACCACAGTATAAATATGAGCCGGCAGTGTGAGGCTGTAGCCAACCGGGCAAATAATATCCTGCCATGCATCAATCATGAATCTCCAGCAAAACTAGGGAAGTGACTCTTCCACTCTACTTGCCACTGGTGAGACTGCAGCTGGAGTACCGCATCCAGTACCGGGCACTGCATCTCAACAAAGACGTAGTAAAGCTCAAGAGAATCCAGAGAAGAGCCACCCATATGATCATAGACTTGCACAGCAAGTCATACGAGGAAAAGCTGAGGGATCTGGAACTCTTCAGCCTGAAAAAGAGAAGGCTGAGAAGGAACTTGGTAGCAGCTTACCACTACATCAGGGGTGTACATCAAAGGCTAGGTGAACAACTGTTCACCAGGGCACCCTTGGGGAAACCCAGGAGTAATGGCCATAAACTCCAGGAAGATTGTTTCAGGCTCAACATCAGGAAAAACATTTTCACAGCTAGGGTGTCAAGACCATGGAATAAGCTCCCTCCCAAAGTGGTACAATTGCCTACCCTGGAAATCTTCAAGAGGAGACTGAACGGTCACCTTGCTGGGGTCACTTTACCCCAGCAGTCTTTCCTGCCTGGTGCAGGGGGTTGGACCCAATGATCTTCCGAGGTCCCTTCCAGCCTTGTATTCTACAAATCTATGAATTTCCAGGACTGTGAAATAGGAAAGAGACAAGGAGTAGCTCGCAGATAGCAAAATAAGACAGGTTAGCTTGATTAGTGAAACATAGAGACCATTAAAAAGGAGAGATGACTGTTAACACCTGTGAGTGGAGAACAATGAGCCATTAAATCAACTGACCCCCTCAGCTCCCTGAACAGTAATGTCAGAGCTGTTGTACTGCTGAGCAGAAATAAAAGCAGGGTGCTTCAGGTTCCCTGATTAACACATGCACCACAATTTTGAGGGTCTGCTGCTGGGTGGAAAAGGTGTGTATTGTATGCTAAATCTTGAATACTTATCTGGATCTCCTTTGCTAGTTGTCATTCTCTGCTGCTTCAAGCATTGTAATGGACAATTTCTCAGCTTTTCACTCAGTTGAATCTAGTTATTTTATAATTTATATATACATGTTCTAAGATTTCCCCTGGATTCTCATCTGTGGCACATAGCTTTTATTTTTTATTTTAATTTCTGGTTTAGCCAGATGTCATGGCTTAATTGTACTTTTCATATGTTAGCACTAATTATATTTTGGCACCCTGCTAAGATTGCTTTTCATATGTCATTATCATCCCTTTCACCCCCAAAGCATAATATACAGCATGATAGCAGATTACTGATTATGGCATCTTCTGTATGAGCAGCAAATCCCTGTGACCCCAGTGGCCTCCCTTTCAAGCTGTGATTTAGTCTTTGACCTTTATATGGTTTTTTTTCCATGAAAGAGTAAGCCTATCAAAGATACAGCTGAAGAAAGGGTGGAGTAACCCTCCTAACTGCATTTCTTATGTTTTCAGCTTGTAATCACATCCAGGCATGTTATTTTACATAGCCCTTCTTCATCAGATTTATAAAATCCTCTGGCAGCCCCCAATATTGAAAAAATATTGTTTCATTTATCACCAAACTTCTACCTGCAAGGAAGCATAATCAGTGGAGGACCCTGTGTAGCAAGGATACAGTTTCTTTTGAAACTTAAAGGATGGGCATTGATAGGGAATATGTTGTTCTCTGTCCCACATTCCCTGTCCCACATTCTTTGTATTTGCAGAAAAGAGAACAAGACAGAGAGAATCTGAATGAATATAAATGAGCAGCAAACCACCATTGAGTTCAAAGGAGCTGTACTGCTTCACAGCAGGTGAGAATCATACTTGAAAACTTTAAAGTTGATAACAGGTATGACTGGTATATATATATATATATATAT